CTAGACCGGAGCCACTCTCAGATAGCATTAAACAGGAGGCTTTATTGAGCATCTGAACACAGCACAGGAAACTCTCAGGGCCCTCGGGCTTGCCCTCCCTCAGCACAGCACATCCAAGTCTCGCCTGCATCCAGGTGGGCTCTGCTTGCTCTCCCTCTCTAGCCCAGAGCCCCCCTGCTTCCCATCTACGCATCCCAAGTTCCATCCCCGATCCTCTGTAACAACAAACTCCCTCTCCCATCACCTTGTTAAACCAGTAACACCCAGGGAAACTGAGTCCCACCCCCTCTGCATGCAAACCATTGAAAAAACCAAGAAACCCCCCCACTTCATCACAGTTACCAGAACAGAATACACACGCTACTCATACAATGCCCATCACTCCCAGTAAGCAGACGAACTTTCCCTGCTGGCCAGTCAGGATCAGCTCGTCCTGGGACTCCAGGTTCTGCATGGTGTCATTGGCAGGGTGTTGAGATCTGGCAGCGCTGATGCTGGGCTGTGTCCTGCAGTTGGTTCCCCAGAACTTCCTTTTGAACCCAGTTTATATAGTGAAACTTGAGTCCTGCTTAGCTCTACCTTAACCAATCGTTTTACTGAAGTGTTACAAAATAATTCTCTCACCAATCCTATCGTAGTGCGCGGGAGAAACGGTGAGTATGGGGGCTCGGGGGGGGCGGGGTGTGAATACGGGACCCGCCCTGCGTTAGGTGGTATCGGCCCAGGGGTCCTGGGGGCTGGGGAGAGCAGTGTGCCCGGGCCTGGGGGAGCAAGGCTTAGCAGTTTTGGAGAAAGGGCCGGGTGTGTGTGGTGAGATCGGGCTGCTGCAGGGCGGTGCCCCCCATTCACCCTGCTTGCTTTACCCAGCAGCTCTGTGCTGGCCTGGCTGCATTCCCCCCCCGCCCCGTGAGCCCATAGCCCTAGAGCCTCATTTCATCCCTGTGCACCCCTGCCCTGTCCCTCCATGCCCCACACTGCTGCACTTTGCTGCTGCCTGCGACCCCACCCACCGCACCTCATTGTGTGTCTGGAGGGTCTGTCTAGGACAGTGGTTCTCAAACTCGGGCCGCCACTTGTTCAGGGAAAGTCCCTGGCAGGCCGGGCCGGTTTGTTTATCTGCCGCGTCTGCAGGTTCGGCCGATTGCAGCTCCCAGTGGCTGTGGTTCGCCGCTCCAGGCCAATGGGGGCTGCGGGAAGCGGTGGCCAGTATATCCGTCGGCCATTGGCCTGGAGCAGTGAACCGCGGCCACTGGGAGCTGCGATCGGCCGAACCTGCGGACGTGACAAGTAAACAAACCTCCTCCACTAACATTTCCCATCCAAAAGACGCTAAACCCCTTCCTGTCCCTTCTTCTTAAAACAGCCAATCAAGGAAAAGGTGGCTCTCAACCTGTGGTCTGTGGACCCCTGGGGTTACAATTTCAAAAGGGGCCTGCACCACCATTCAAAAATGTTTAGGGGTCTGCAAATGAAAAAAGGTTGAGGACCACCGCCCTGGGGTATTGCACCCTGATCGCTCCAACCAGGTGTTGGACGCATTTGCAGGGGTGGTTTTGTTTGGGATCCCCATCTTCCTTCATCTTCCCACTCCTACACATCCACTCACCCCCTCTCTAGCCATAAGCTGAGAACAGTTGGCTGATCCCTTCTCCCTTTGCATTGCCTGCATGCAAGTCCCACTGGTAGTGCTGCCTGCAACCTTTTCGGCTGGTTCAGGGAGCACCAG